ATGATCAAAATACATCAGGCACATTGCAAGACTAGAATTTCTAGCTTACTAGAAGAATGAGTCAGCCAAGTTACTTTGAAAGTTCTAGCTTCACAATGCTTCAACCACATTCGATGCCTAGATTGTCAAAACGGGAATAACCACTTTTGACCAAGTAATTGGTCCAAGATTTGGTTTTACTTCTAATATCTCTACAACAACTAGTAGCTACCAACTTTCCTTGAATTTCTCAAATTCTTGTTACTTCCATAGCCTATAAAAGGAGCTTCGAAGCATCACTTCAATACATCTCATTTTCCATGCTTTTGTTTTCCTTTCTACTTTGTTATCAATTTTAGTTTTGTAGTTTTTATTTAAGTTTTGTTTTTCAATTATTTTTCCATAATTATTCTTTCTTTATTTTATTTCAATTATATTTGTTCTAATTGTGTTCTTCTTTCCCGATTCAATGAAAATACATTCTTTTGTTATCTTMTTTTGCTATTGCATTTATTTTATTTCCATAAGTAGCTAAATTGTTTATTCAACACTCCTACGAATGGTTTAGTTCATCTATTTTAAATTACATCTATCAGTGAGCACGGCGTATTACGCTCTCTTTTGCTTATCTTTATTGATACAATTTATCTAGTTTATTTTATTGTTGGCCACTTGTTGAAATCACATTAGTTTGAATTTAATTCTGAAAGGTTGGAGGCAAACAGATCTCGTCAAGGTAAAACAGGAAGTTACTTAGCAATAAGAACTAAAACAAGATCCTAGACATAGGCTCTCTTACCCGTTAAACGTAAGTTGGAACTTGATTTATTTAGGATTCTAGAGTTGCATAGACATATGTAAACACTAGCTTAAGCTTCTAAACAAATCAAAAGTGTTATGGAATAGGAGTTGAACTAGTTTGCATAAATTGAGTTTAATTACGAGCACACTTGATAGGTGTAATTCATCTTTTAGACCTAAATCTTAGTAGGGGGTTGGTTTTTTTAATATTTGTGTTTTTAAATTGTGTTTCCCAACATATTCACCAATTTTTATCCCAAACCCGATTGCTCATTCAAGCAATTTGCAAAATCAATTTTAAAACAAAACTAGTCCCTGTGGAGACGAACTTGGAATATTTCCAGATTATTTCTTGTGACAGTGTGAACTTGCACTTACCCTCTAGCTATTAAGCTGAGGCGCAACACTATTCATAAAAGAGTGTTTTGTGGCATAAATTAAGCAATTTTGGTGTGGAAATGTAAGAGTACTTGGTCAATTAGCAAGAAAAGAAAATGATTTAGTGAAGTAGGCCCCTAAGCTATTTAGAATTCTCCATATCCTTGATTTGAATGAAATTGAGCTGATTATCTTATTATTTTGGCGTGATTTGCAGAATTTAGGATGTTTGAGCTGGAAGCTATGAAGGTTGCTGAAGTACTGCTAGAGCCTAAGAAGAGTTTCTATGCTGGAGCTTGTGGGAGCCTATTGGATGCTTTTGCACATGTGACTACGCAGTAACTTGTTGCCCCAGTTTTAACCACATTCGTACAACTTCCACGTGTTGCCCTAAAATTAAGGGCCCGATATAAAAAAGGAAATAGTGCCCAGCCGCGAAAAAGGAGAGACAAAATAGAGAATCACTTTCTGCATAAAAATCAGAGAACATTCCTTACCCATTTTTTAGAAGAAGATGACAAAAGAGGAGCTTCACCTTGCATCATCACTGAGCTCGAGGAATTCTCACCATTACTGAAGCTTCTTTACTCAATGGGCTTCATTTCTCTTCTACCGACTGTTTCATTTTCTTTTAGCATGAACTAAATCCCACCTTCGGGGGGGCATGAACTTGTTGTACCTTTCAATTAACTATGCTTAGTAACTCCTATTATTGATTTAATAAAGGTGTTTCATTATTTTCCATCTTACTAACTTTTTTGGCCAGCATTATTAGCTTGTTAGCTAGTTTGTGGCTTAGAAAAGTCCTCTTGATGTATGTATGTCTCTATTTGCGTAATTTCTCTCTTTGAAGTAGGATGGTGAGTACTCATGGATTACCCTTTCGTGTCTATAAATTGTATGTAATGCTTGTTTATTTTATGCGGAAGTTGGGAATAAACTTGTTTAGGTATCTTGGGAGAGAGTCAAGTCTGTTTGGGCATTCAGCATTTGAGTTTACTAGAGCATTGTTAGTCGTGAGTAAGAGTAGTAGAGTGATCCCCCCTTGATTTACCTTTATATCACATTACATAACTCATTTCAGTTTTTCTCTGTTTCAGATACTCCAGCAATGAATCGCATAATACTTTTGTTCCTTACTCAATTACTATTTATGTCTTTTACAGTTAAATCATTCATAATTCCTTAATCATCTTATTTTTATTTTTTTTTGGGTATTCTCTTTACTACATCAAAGTACTGTATAGTCTTAGTCCATGTAGAAACGACCTTGTTTTAAACTACAACTAAATATTTTGTGTACATTTACACCAATTTTCACGTGAGTGGTGGATACGCAACGACAGTGGACCACAATAATGTGATCCTCCATCATTACTAGCAATCTTCCTTTTACGGGAGTTTGCCCTTCAATTATTGGGCTTTTACACTTATTTGGGTCTCGCTGTAGAAGTGAACCGGTACCTTCTTCAATCACTAGCTGATCTTCTGAATTTATTAATTGTTGGTACCGCGTCGATGGCCCTGCATTATTTTCGACTTGAGGCAAGTCAGAGTTAACTCTGCTATCTCAGCTTGCAGGTGGGCAACACTACCCAATTCTGCTATGATGTCATTCAATTTAGTCTTTAACCCGGTTCTTTCTTGTTACATCTTCCCCATTGATTGGGATGAATTATAGCGGGCATTCCTTCCGGCCTCACTCCTTTTAAGATTCAAAGGTACGCGTCCTCTTCCCCACCTTCCTGAGCGAATGGAAGCACGACTTCCATCAACGCTTGATTGTTGGGATACGTTATCAGCCATATGTAATTTTTAATGAAAAGGGAACGAATTTTCTAATTTAAATTGGTAATGTCAAAGATTATCTCATTCCCACAAACCGTGCCAAATGTTTTAGCCAAAAAATGACCAAATAATTAATTGCTTAATGTTTCCAAGAACACTTGAAGAAAACCTGCAAAACAAGGAGTTAGCACTCCAAAGTTTTTGTCAATAATAGATTATGGAGAGTAATTATTCTCAATTCAAAAGTTCAGTACCTCTCGTTTCTCCAATTTTTTTTATATTTATTTTTAAGAGATCATCGTTGGGATCACGTATCAAGATCGTGTCCATTCAATAGTTATCTTCAAGATTTTAGGTGAGAATTACACCATGAGGTAGGAGAAGCATATGAGGAGTTACTAATTATGGGTTGTTACAAGAATGATGAAATAAAATGCCTTTTCGTATGAGTACATGTGACAAAGTTCCAATCTTGGGGAATTTCAAAACTTTTGAAATTCAATTATTAATTATTATTAATGAAAATCATTAAATTTTATAAATTAAATAACAACGTTTTTCATATTCTAACCTTTTAGATTTCTTGTAATTGTTATGGTTGATAATTAATTAATTAATTAATTACCGTTTTTAATGGGAAATATAGAGAAGTTTATTGAATAAAAATGAATATTAAGAAATTTATTTAGGTGAATTATCAACTTTCTAATACATAAACTTAAATAAAAGTTGTATTAGAAAAAGATAAAAAGAAAAAAAAAGGAAAAAAGAAACCAAAAAAAGACAATGAAACACCTAAATAAAGGAGAAGTAACATGGATGGGGAGTTTTGATTTGAAAAGATAACTTAAAAGTAAAAGGGACAACAAATTGAAGCGAGAGAGGGGGTGGGAGAGAAAATAAATTAAAGAGAATGATAATTTGGATATTACTAAATAAGTAAAGGTCAACATATTTCACGTTTTACTTCTTTTTATATATATATGTATATATATATTAGAAAGTGGCTAAATATTTATAACTTAAAAAAAAAAACTTTTTATATAAACTTTTTACCAAAAGTTAAAAATAAAATAAAAGACATCATTCATCATCTCTCTCTATAGAAAGGATGCGAAGAATTATTGGAAAAGAAAACTATTTTCTTCTCTAGCCATGTGCCTTATTGTAGACAGAAAATGAAAGATTTTAAATTTCAACCATTAAATTTTTTATTTTGAGCTCGAGTACTGAGAAAAATCGTCAACAAAAAATACCCATTTAGTAACTAAATGTCCAGTGGGCAGCAATCAACCATGATGTGAGTTTAGTTTCAATTGGATCCTTATCATCATCTAGTTAAATTTCATAAATCTTTTATTCATAAACCTTCAAATAATTTTTTTTTTTCAACTTCAACAATTGTGGAATATAGATACTTGAATCGTCGATCTTTGATATGGTAATAGTTATACGTGTCTTCTGAACTATGCTCGAATTTAGCTTCAACCCTAATATATTCAATTAATGCAGCCAAAGAGATAAAATATCAACTCTATCTGCCACGAATATAGGTAATTGTAATAACATCTTAAAAAGTAAACGCTTTCAGCTCCATCTTTTTGCTGCATTTGGATGGATTTTCAAAGACTGTTGCAAGCTCGTCAACTTTTTTTTGGGAAGATATTAGAATCACTGCTTCCTCTTGGGCGTCTAAATCATTTTGATTTTATAATTATGACCATTTTGATTTTATAATTATGACATTGCATCGAGCTATTTCAATTAGATTGTTTTTTCTATAGTCTCTTGTTATGTAATTTTTATCAATGCTAGTCTTTCATTCGCCACGCATAAAGAAAAGTGTACAAAATATAAAAACAACGTAGATGATTTGTGAGGTTTAACATATGATATAATAATCATAAACACGAAATTGAATTTGAGACCAAACGGCATAAATTAAATTAAAACTTTAAAATCATAGAAACAACTTGAAAGTCTAGTCAATCTAAAAGAACCAAATTTGAAGTTTAACCTTTATTTCTTTTGATATATATAGAGTAGTTCATGGATTTATTAAAAAGATCATAATATTACGAGATTATGAGCAACTTTTTTATTTCTTTCTATAGCAATATTGGCGGCATGCATCTCTCTCAATTGAAGTTGATTGGGTACTTACGCTGCTTGTTTGGAGAGAAGAGACCAAAATGCTTCTCGAACTCAGGGCTCTTCTGGTTCTCATCAAACATGCCGAAGATATAAGTCTCAATCGGCCTTCCGGGCCGCCTTGGAGTCCCTCTCTTGACATGTTGAATCAAGTTGTTGTTGTAAGTTCTCGCATTGTCGATCGATGTCGCCGTACCCCCCGCCGAAGGCCACCCGCTCTCCGATATCACGATCTCCAAATTCCCCCCACCGGCCTTCTCCAACGCAGCGTAAAACGAATCAAGAATCGCATCGAATAGGTTCTGGTAACGGAACTGGCCATCGGTGACCACCACCGATGGCGCCGTGAAGAGGGCATAATCCAAACGGATGTCCCTCGTGTTGCCAATGTAGCTGAAGTAAGGGTACAAGTTGAGGAGCAACGGCGATCGATTTGCGACGAGAAAGCGGATAACCGGGTCCATAAATCCTCGGACGTCGGTTTTAAAGGCACCGGCTGAGGGAGGGAAGGACACACCGATAACGCGGGTGTCAATGGCAGTGGAGACTTTGATTTGGCCGCCAAGGCCAGCTGCGGAAATTGCGTTTTGGATGTTCTGCATGGCCGGACCGACGAATCTAGCGGCGCCAGGGTCAGAGGATAGGACTTCGTTGCCAACAGCAATGTACTTGAATCTAACATTAGCAAAGTTTCTTACATTGTTTTGAACCCATGCATTGGCTTCGCCCTGACTCGAGGCAATTCTTTGGAGGTCGGGATTTGGGAGGCCAAGGATGAGCTCAATGTTGGAGCCTTTAAGGCATCAAGGGAAGCTCTATTGGGATCATACAGTCTCATTCTCCTTATGTTGTTTTGGTTGTAGAGAGCTACAACTTCTCTTTGGGGTGGAAGATTATTTCCGATCTGCCCATAGCAAACTCCGATTTGAGCACCTGGAACACCACAACAAAATTAAGCTAATCTCAATTCGAACATAGTACAGTTTCGAATTGTTAGATATTTAATGCGTTTCTTAAGTTATACGTTTGGATTTTCTTATGAGTTAATTTGATGGCGAGGTTAATTAAAGGTAGTGGACCTAATGCTACAGTTATGTAGATATTAGTTTAGGTTTAAATTTTTTATGTAATAAAATATAACAATTTTAGGTTTTTTTTTTTTGAATAAGATAACAAATTAAGTTAGTATGGGTTGTTTATTTGGTTTGATTATTTATCAAGCTTATATTTTGCCTTAAGAAAAACAAGGTTGTATTTTGAAAACAAAAAATAAAAAGTAAAATAGTTGATAAAAATCTGCTATTGTCTTTTGTTTTGGAAAAAGTTAGTAATTTATTTATTGATATTATAACTGTTTTACCTATTTTCTGAAAATATTTTTAAATGATGCTTATTTACTAATATTTTTCTTTATTTTCTAATTTTAACAAATCAAAAAATTTGAAAATGTTTTTTTTATAAATGAGTTGGTTTTAAAAAGTGACTTTTGAAAATGAAAAAGTAAGAGCTGGTTTGATAACTATATTGTTTTTTACTTTTTCTTTTTGAAAATTAAGCTTATAAATACCACATTCACTTACGTGTCTCTTTGTTTTGTTACCTAATTTTTAAAACACTTTAAAATCTAAGTCAAAATCTAAAAACTAAAAAAAATAAAAACTTGTTTTTTTTTATAAAATTTGACTGAAAACTCAAATATATTTATATTTTAAAAAAATTTAAAAACATACTGACAAAGTATCATCAAACAAGTTTTAAAAACTTGATATATGTTTAATAACTTAACTAAGAAATAAGAAAACAAAAATCATTACCCACAAAAAAAAAAATCATCTTTGCTTCCAAATTTTTTGCAAATAATTTTTGAAGCATTTCATGAAAAAATAAAAAATAAAAACTAGAAAAAAATAGAATTGTGCATAAAAGAGATGAGAGAGAGAGAGAGAGAGATAAGTACTTGTTAAATGTAGATTTGGAAGAAGGAAGGCAAGAAGGCACAAGGAGATAATGGAATAGAGGTTATCCATTGAGAACAAAAATATTAGAAACAAAAGAAAAAAGATGGCTTTTGGATGGTGAGAATAATGCTTTCTTAGCTTCCCTTTTATAGGGAAAAATCCCAAGACTTCCATTCTAGGAGACTTGGAATGGTCAATAACTTATAATTATAAGCCCATTAGAATTCTTAATTGTCTGGCAGCCTAAAACTCCAATTTAATAATTAAAAAAAAACCTTTAAAATTGATTAAACTAGCAAACTTGGTATCTAAACTTTAGTGGTGGTTTTTCAATGATCGAACCCATGACTCTTGATTGGAAATATATGTTAATTATATTATTGCTTAGCTATGCTTGCTTTGACAGTGGTGACGTTTATTTAGTTCTTTGTCTTTTAAAATTTTTCAGTTATGTTTTGTCTCCATTATTACTTTAAATGGTGATGTAATATGCTTAATTATATTGGACGAACATGGTTTATTTATGCAAGAGATGAAAAAAAATTAGACCTTATTTGGTAACGTTCTTGTTTCTTATTTTCTGATCACAAAATATAGAATTGCATGACCAATACCCATGGACTCAATAATGTAAAACTATATTCGTATTTATGTTTTGAAAAAATTGGAAACAAAGAACAATTTCCAAAAATTTTATACAATTTTAAGAATGTTTCTAACAAATTAGCAACAAAAAATATGAATAGTTGTCAAATACTTTTTCTTAATAAAATTGGAAACAAGAAATAATAAATGGCAATGTTACCAAATGGGTCCTTAACTACTAAAAAATGGCCAATTTTATAACGATATTACACATAAATAGAAGCTTTGTATATCTGGTGTCCACTATGTTTTATCTAATTGTCAGCTTTCTTCTATCATATGTCGTCATATCGTGCCAAATTCATAGAACCTTCATCTAATGTCCATATCATGTTACAATTTATAGTATTAACAATAATAACAATATAAAAATCATAATTTAAAATACAATACATAGCTTAAATTTTTTAAATTACGACAAAGTTATTTGAGAGCCTAATTAAATTTATAATTTGACCATATATTTTTTATTAAAGTGAGTGAGGTGATTGAGAAAGAGGAGTAAATGAGATTTTCTTAAGGGTATTTTCTTAGAAAGTTATGAAAATTCCTCTTGCAAATTTCTTGCTAGAAATTATAAGATAAAATACAGTATTTTCTCGGCTGGGGAAGATAAGGGATAGGGAAATTTTTTTGGTCAAAGTCCTCCATTAATGTTTATTCATTATTTCACCTTATTCTTATCTAAATTGCATTCTCTATAATTTTCAAACAAATAAAAAATACTTTTCTCTTGGCTCTCAAATTATTCTCTATCATAAAGTTTTAAGATTTTGGTGGTTTTCTTTTATGATAAACCTGAGTATAGTTCAATAGGTTAAAGATATTTATATTCGACTAGTAGGTGGTAAATTATAGTCCCTACCCACATGTAGTTCTAAGAATAAATAAATAAATAAAAATAAAGTTACGATATTTTATCAATATATCTTTTTTTTTATAACAATCTAATTAAAAAAAAAAAGAAAAAAAGAAAACAAGTTTGTACATCAATATCTCCACTTTTTATGCCAACCAGGGTTCAAAATGTCGCTGGACATGTCGACGTGTTGAGCATGTCGACATCGACATAGGGGGAAAAGTCGATTTTCCCCCATGTCGTGGACATGTCAAAATGTCGACATGTCTTTTTGTTTCTCCTCTTCTTCTTTAAGGTTATTTTATTTTCATTATCTTCTTACTATGCCACTATAGTCTATAATTTCTCACAACCTCGATGATTATAATCTTAGTCTATTCAATGAAACATTCGAATTTTAATACTGTATAAAGTATAACTAATAAGATTTGGAATTTACTTTATTGATAATTTCTAGTCCAATCTAGTCCTTACTTACACAATTGAACAATATAGGTGAAATATTGACATATATAAAGATTGAAATAATCTTAGAATTTTTTTAAAATAAAATATTATTATATACAAATAGTGGTGAAACATAAACTAGAATAGGTAGCTTAATTAATACCAAAAAGATGATATCGGAGGATCTAATGCACTATCTTGATAACTTTAATATAAATTACAATAGTTATCCCCGGTCATCTTAGACTGAAAGTTTTGAAGGTAGTTGCTCAAATGAGTAGAATATGAAGCACATATGAATCTCATTGGTAGATAATTTGGATGAATGATACAATCACAAGGTGGAGGTGTTTGAAAATTGTGTAAATTTGATTGGAAAGTTGGATTGATGATTGATTTTAAAATGTGTTTGAAAAATGTGTAAATTCAAATTTGAAAAGAGAAGTAGGTAAAAAGTAAACAGGCACGAGTTAATTAGAATTTAGAAATGTGTTTGAAAACCAAGTCGGTAATTATCTCATTTCCAAATAAATCCTATTATGAAAAATACTAAAGTAGTCAAAAGTTTACAATTAAAGTTTACTTTACATATTCAAATAATTTTCATCAATCTTCATTAAAGGAAAAAATCTTTTTTCGATGTTTCCATCGACATTGACATGTTCGTAAAATCGGAACCTCGACATTTTGAACACTGATACCAACTAAGCATAACTCACTAAAAATGGTGCGTTGAAATCCCCTTCAAAGATGCTTTACTAAAAATATAGATATACATATTTTAATTTTTAATTTTCTTTTCAAAAAAAATATTTMTAAAATGTTAGCTGAATCTAAAAACAAGTTTTTTTTTTACAACAATTTGGGAATTAAACCGGTCTCGAATAGTACATGTCAATTACTGACTAAGTATGATCTTTTATTGGGTCGTGCTTTTAAATCCTCACCCTCGTACTCAAAATATATAAATATATTTGTTTGGGGAAGAGAATACCCTGGACACGTGGAGGACCGCTATTGGTGCTCCAAGATGGCTCATGAGTCATGCCCAGCTCGAACCGCCGAGATCAGCACCACTAGCGTTGACAGGTGCTAAGTATGAGGGCCGAGGTGAACCTGGCCCAGGTCCGATCTACCGGAAAGCTCGGTGGGGGCCGACGTGAGCTACTGTCAGCGGCGTGATTATCGGGTGTAACCGTCGGTCCCGAGATTACCGGGTGTAACCGACCGTCCCGAGATTATCGGGTGTAACCGTCGCGAGATTAGCGGGACTACCACCCATAAGTAGAGGACCTCACTCCACGATCAGGTACGATGATTTCTGACCTCGAACTAAACTGGGAATCCGACCTATACTGACTTGATCGTCGGAGTGCTCACCTTTTTGTGCAGGTCCGCCCAAGTATTCAGATYGGTCCGGAGGCCGAGCTCGAGCTACAATCAGAAATACACTTGTTGTGCATATCCTTGCATAAACAATATTCATTTTTTTTTAATTTTCTTTTCAAATAATATTTCTAAAATCTTAACTGAATCTTAAAAAAAAGTTTGAAATTTAGAGTTTTGGTTTGGTCTGTGATCCATTTTTGTTTTTATGTTTTCGAAAATAATGGATACTATATTGTAAACAATAATAACTCGTTTTATCAGTTGTAATTTGTGAATAAAAAAGATGTTTATTTGCACCTTCCTGTATTGACACCCAAGATCTAGATTCGAGCCCTCCGGTGTCCAGTAGTAAAAAAACAAAAGATGTTTATTTTATTTTTAAAATTTTTGAAAAGATAGTGTTTTTCTCGCTTCTTTCTTTATTTTCTTTTATTTTTAACTGAGATCAGATTTAAACAACTTAAATATTTAAAACATAAAATAATATCAATACTTACTTTTCATTAAAATGTGTAACTTAAACATATTTCTTGATATTTAATGGAATATTAAATAATTAAAAATAAAATATAAAGCAAACCTTTTTTAAGGAAAAGAAAAAGATAGCTACCTCTAAAAAACAAGTGTTGAGTTCAAATCCAGATCTCCACCTGTATTACTAAAAAAAATAGATTATAAAATTGAAATTTTGTTCAAAATAGATACCCTTCTAAAAGAACAACACTAAAATTATATTTTAGTTGAAAGAGGTGAATTTTGAGCGGTATATATCTTACAATAATTATCCAACATTAAATGGATGAAATTAAAAGTTTGGTAATAAAAGTATAAACAGTTTTTTCTTTCAAAAAAAATCCACCAAAATGTTTATAAATTTATTACTAAACACAGTTTTCAGATTTTTAATTTTTAATTTTTAATTTTTTAATATCAGGTAAAAATATTTTCAAATATGGTGAGAATAATTTTATTTTATTTTTATTAATTTGAATAATAGTGCAGGTTTAGTTGGAAAGCTTTATTAACTTATTTTTATAATTTTTTTTTACTCTTTCTAAATTGTAGAACGAACAAAAGAGTTTTTCTTTTATTTCGTTTTTCTTTTGAAATTTAATTAAGAATTCAATATTACTTTTCAATAAAATGAAATGAAAATAACAAAAGAATTAATTTTGATTTTAAATAGTAAAAGCACCATTTTGTAACGTTGTGTTTTAGTTTCCAAAAACCCAAATTAATTTCAAAGAAATAAAACAACTATTTGTAAATAATCTTAATTTTCATTAAAAAAAAAATCTCCTTTATGAATTAAATTTATTACGACACTATTTTTTCTCCTTGAATTTTTTAAGTCGCCTTTGAACTTTCAAAGTTGATGTCGATCTCTTCTAATTGGGCATCATTTATTGAATTTATTTTTGGTATTATGTGACAAATGACCTAACTTTTTAAATGTTGACAATTTCAATATGTAATAGTCGTCTCCAATATGTGTCTGATTAATTTTTACTTTACTTCTTTTTTCTTCTGTACAATATGTAGTGTGAGGGATTGAATTCACAATCTCTTGGTTGGAAATATATATTAATTACTGTTGAGATGTGCTTACTTTAACCATAATTTTTACTTGAATATAAAAACCGTAAAATATGCTTCAAATTATATAGTTGTTAGTCTGTAATTCCTATTTTTTTGTTGTACTAAAAAAAAGTTACGTAACATTATTGAATATACTATATTTTCATTTTTTTTAAGTGCAACATGTAG